AAGCCGTTCCGCCGAATATGATCGTTGCACGTGCTAGCGATCACCGCTGTCCACACGTGCGGGTCGTCGTCCTTAGTGAGCTGCACGTCGCGGTTGAGGCGCTGGAAGTGGTCTTTGAAGAAGTCGATCGCTCGCTCCACTCGACCTTTCAGCTGTGGCGCCTCTGCTGGGACCGGCCTCATCAGGATGTTGTACTTGTCGCCGACCTCCACGAACCGCTTCGTGATGTGGCCCTTGGCCGCGTCGTAGTAGAGCACCTTAGGCGCACCAGCCCACGACAACCAACCTTGCGAAAAGCATCGCAAGCTCTCCTCTCCGGTGATGGACCTCACCGCTTTTGTGGGGATGATGACCCTGAAACCCGAGGCATCGTCCAGGATCACCATGACCATCAGCCTGGTCCCGTCCGAGAGGATCACCTCGGCCTCGTCCAAGAACACGTTCTGGTTGAACTCCGTCGAGAGCTTCAGGTTGGAGCTCCGTGTCGTCGTCGGTCTGCCGAGCTCCTTGCACACGACGCAGTCCAGCTTGTCCACCGCGTCCAGAACCTTCTGCGACACCCCGTAGGACTTCAGGCGTCGCTTTAGTGCGTGAGCCGAAGGGTGGCTCAGGTTCAGGTGGGGCTTCTTGAGCGCGCCCCACTGGGCCGTGGTGATGTCCGAAGGCTTGTCTCCGAAGCCTTCGCCCTCTCGCTGTAGGTCTCGATGTGCCTCGTCAGCTTCGCGGTCGTCTGGAGTGAAAGCCTTCGGCTTGCTCCCATAGATGTGCACCGTCGCAGGGTATGACGTCTGCACCTTCGGCTCGTTCACGTAGATCGCGATCACCGTGTCCGTCGGGAACCGCTTAGCCGTCTTGACCGTCGCGAAGTCCTGGTCGCCCGCGTAGGCGTCGCTGTAGTCCGCCAGCACTCCCTCGTCGGAGTACATCGCGTAGATCCTCCGTATAGCTCCACGAGGTGGTGTAATCTCCTCGGTGCCCGTCAGTACGCGCACGTCGATCAGCTCCTTCCTCAGCCTGAACGCCTTAGCCACAGCGTTCACCACCTGCTTGCTCGGGGACTTCGTCGTATTGCTCCCGATGCGCATCTCCTTCGGGCTGGTCCGTCGCGCCAGCTCGTGAGTGCCCGCAGCCACCAAGGTCTTGCCCAGGTCGTCCGGCCAGGCGCTAGCCTGTGCCAGCTCCGCGCTGCGCCCAACCATGTCGGCGTGCTTGTGGCTCCCGTCGCACTTGCGCTCGAGCCAGTCGGAAAAGCACGAGCCGTTGGGCACCATCATGCGCGTCGGCTTGCGGATCGGGTCGCCGTAGCTGTCCGTGAGCCCGTACATGCACTGGTGCAGCGTGACCGTCTCGTAGAGCGGTGGCTTGTCACCGTGCCAGCTGAGCAGGTTCGCGATCGGTGCTTCCCGCCACGCCCGGCTGGTGAGAGGATTCTCGCCGATGCCGATGCGTCCACCTTCAGCTTGTATCTGGAGCACCTCCGCTGAGAAGCTGATCAGCGGCTCAAACTCCTGGATCAGGTCGTCCACCCGGTCGCCCATGCCCTGAGCACGTTGAAACTCTTGCATATTCGAGTGGGCGGTGCACGGGAATGCGACCGAAACCATCCAGGGCTTAAAGATCCTGATCAAAAACAGAAAATCCGATCGCACCTTCGGGTCGTTGAAGTTCACACCTGTCGTTAAATCCGAGGGGGTCGCATTCGCGTGACCTCCCTTCGAAGCTACACGAGTAAAACGCGCCTCCTTCGCAAACAGCTCCCAGAGAAACGTCTCGTTATTGTCGCGCAGCACATCGAATATGACCGCATACTCCTTCATGAGTCTGTCGATCCTCTTGAGCGTATTCTTCTTGAATATGCCCTTGTTGCCGTTCTTGATGGCCTCCTGGACCCACCGGTCGGCGTCGTCCTGGTGCTTGAAGTCGGGCCCCGACTGCAGCGTCTCCGCCACCAGGAACACCTCCGGCTCGCTGTGCTGGACGCTCTCGGTCCTGATGCGGAACTGCTCGAACAGGGGGTCCGCCTCGTACGACTCCAGGTCGAAGTCGAGGATGTCGATCCCCGCGTGACCTCCGGGCAGCTTCATCAGCTCCATGTCGTACAGGCCCAGCTCCTCGAAGTCGGCCCACTGGCCGTCCTCGCGTAAGTAGAGGTTCGTCTTCCAGTCCGCCAGGTTCTTCTTGCTCGTCAGGCCGATCATGTCGCCAGGGATCTCGAAGTACTCCTGGATCACGTGCACCTTGCCGATCCCGATCGGCATGATCCACTTCTTCTTGGCCTCGCGTCGTGCGCCGCCGAGTCCCTTGAACTTCTGGACGGCGTCCACGATGATCGGCTCGAGGCCGTACTTCGCCAGCTCCGTCTTCTGCTTGTCCAGCCAGCCGCGCCCGGCCACCGCCACAGTGGCCCCGCTGTCCAGCAGGGAGGCCGAGACGATCTCGCTCGAGATCATCACGTCGACCTCGGGAACGTCGGGCAGGTGGTAGTCGCTCTCGGTGTCAGTCATCATGATGTCGCGCTCGGTGGACTCCTCGACCTTCACCGTCGCGACCTCCTGGCTCTCGACGCCCCCGTTGCTGAACAGGTCCGGCATGACGCACACCAGCGTCGTCATGGCCCAGAAGCCCAGCCGTCGTGGACGTCCTGCCTTGCTCGTCTTGCCGCGGCCCTTGAAGCCCTTGCTCGCCGGTCGGCCAGAAGCTCTTGGCGTCGTGCAGTCCTGCGTAGCGTGATCCATCCTGCCACAGTTGCCGCACTTCTTATCCTTTGACTTCCCTTTGTCCTTGCCTTTGCCGCCACCTTTGCTTCCCTTTCCGGCCGCCTTGCCGCCGGCCGCCGCACTCTCGTCCACGACTCCGTCGATCTTGCCTTTGAAGAAGCCGCGCGCCGCCCTGATCTTATTCATTTTGAAGCGGCTCTCGCGCAGCGTGACGAGGGCCTGGTGGTAGTCGTCGTCCTCATTCGCGAGGTACGCGTCCGCGCCGTCCTCGATGTAGAACAGGTCGCTGTTGTCCCACTCGTCGTCGTCGTCCTCGAGGGCCGCGTAGATGCCGCGCTCCTCGTCCCACTCGTACCAGTACCCGTCGTCGTCCTGGACCCAGTACTCGTCGAACGTGTCGTCTTCGTCCGCGGTGGGATCACCGTCCGCGTAGTTCGCCCAGCGCCAACCGGCGCGAGCCTGTCGTTCTCGGTGCTTGCCTCCGCCACGGGGGAAGAGATTCTTCAAGGTCGTGCTGATCTTCTGGAAATCGAACGTCTCCTCCGCCCGGGCTATCACTAAGTTGCGCTCGTCCTTGTCCAAGCCGCTGCGCTTCAGCGTGTGGTAGCCCAGCTCGTTGGAACTTATCTTCGTGTCCGGGTCGACCTCCTCGAGGTTCCGCTTCGCTACCTCCATCGCCGTGCAGAACGCTGCCATAGGTTCTTCACCCTTGCGCTCGAAGTGCGTCTGGTCGAAGAACTGATCGAACGCCTTCGGCAGCTCCCTGAAGCTACTCTTGGCGAAGCGCTGGTCCTCTAAGTACTTCAGCAGCACTCGAGCGCCGTCCTCAGTCGCGTAGTCTACAGGATCCGACTGCTCGATCAGCACACTGATCGAGTTGTCCGCGCCCAGCAGGTTGCGGTACAGCTTCGGTCCGAGCGCTCTCTTCTGCTCTGCGCTCTCACAGCTCAGCTCCGCGGCCTGCACAGCACGCTTGTACCGGGTGAAATCCTTCAGCGTCTCGCCCTTCAGCACCGGTACCTTGGGATCCACCGCGTTGTTGTAGTCACTTGCCATGGCCACACACGTCACTCGATGGGATGGCTAGTCCCGCTCGTCGTCTCTGGAGTCAGTGGGGCCAACCACTAGCTCCGCTGCCAACCTCGTTCTCGTCAGAACTTATCCCCGAGCGTCTCCCTCGGACACTGGGGTTCGTCACCAGCTCGAACTCGATCGATAGTGCCGACAGCCGCTATCGCCGCCCCCACCCGATGCCACTGCCGTGGGAGGGAGCCGCACACTTTTAGCTCGAGCCCAAGCGCCGGCGCTGCACGCACGCGTGTCAAACAGTTCAACACACAGAATCTACAGCCCCCGACGAACCCAAAGGCTCCCCAAGATGCCCCCAAGATGCCTCAAAGATGCTCTCATGAAGCTCCAAGGAGGCCCCAAGAGGGCCACCCGAGGATCCAAAGATGCACCCCCCTCCTCCTCCTCCTGCTGCTCCTCCTCCTCCTCCTGATCTTCCCCGCCATCCTCCCCAAAGTGTTCCCCGAAGGGTTTCCACAACGGCTGGGGGAACACATGGTCCGATAGTTTGGACGCTCGGCCACATGGGCCATTCCAAAAGGCAGGATGCGGCGGTGATTCGCCGTATGCGTCTTCGGTAGCCAAACCGTACACCAAGACGATGCATAAAAGGCGCGAACTCAGAAGACACCTCAAGACCTGTCACCAATCGTGTACAGCACGAACAGGCAGGAGTACCGTATACCCGTTCCATGCACCGTGGACAAACAACTGAACTTACGCCAATGACATATATCGACAGAAGGACACCTGCACCGTATTACATAACACGCCCAAACACACACACACACATACACACACACACACACATCACACACATGCATCAATGACATGAACCGGCACAGGGAATCTACAACAGAAAAACATGCAGCATCAAGCGGGAATGCGCGCACACTAGACACCATAACAACACACCATAATCGGCATACGTGGCGTAGGGGGAACACACACTACACTGTGTGACTAGCCCATACATCTAATGATGACATATGCCATCCATGGAACAACACGCGTACATACCACGCAAGAAAATGATGCGCAAACGCTTGAAATCAAACGCCAACGATGCACATTACGATGCAGGGGAACGGGAACGCCGTCGAGACAATTCGCAACGATTCTCCTGCGTGCATCGCCCGACACACGCAAAGCCAAGCCCGCAGGCCCCATGCTCCCCACTCCCCCCCTGGAAGACGCAGCACCGCGCCGGGGAGCCTTGGACATGAACGCAGCGTTCAGGCCGTCCACGAGACCTGACAGCGGGGGAGCGGCCCGCCCCGTCCCCCGGACGCCCGACGTCGTGACTTTATCACAGCGTCGACTCCCAGATTTGAGCAGGGACCGACCGTCCCGGCATTCCTATAGTCATACCACGAAATGTTCTCAGAACCCAAACATGTTCTAAGAGCAAAAACAATGTTCTTAGAACAGAAACCCGATGCGTTCAAACAAGGCAGTCCCAGCAAGAAATGTTCTAAGAACATTTCGTGGGAACCACAAAAAATTCTTAGAACACTGTTTGGTGGGGCTATAGGCGAGCCGGGACGGTTCGCCACTGCCTGAATCACAGCGTCGACTCCCAGAGGTCTGGACCCCTTCTCGGGACCAGATTTTCATCTTGCGTAGGTTTTTTGACAGTCCCGGGGCCCAGTGATGGCCCCCAGAGGCCGAGAATCGCGAACACCTCTCGTCGCGACTGTTTTGCAACTCGGGGGGTCGAGGTCGCGCTCCCCTGCGAGGAGGAGACGAGCGGAAGGAGGACGCCGGAGGCAGGACGCGCGAACGCGCCGGCCGGCGGCCCCCTCGAGGGCGGCGCGGGTGGGCCAGAGCAGGAAACTCGGCGGTCTCAACTTTGAGAACTGCCATGCGCCAGCGATGTCAGTTTGGGACGTAGAGCGCGCAAGACTCTCAGAGTACAGGGCAGCTTTTAATACATAGGATGTTTTAAACATCGGATGTTTAATACGTGCTTAATTTATAAAGAAATTAATGCGTAAACTCATCCTTGTATTTATCAATCAACCCTTTATTCTTAATACATGGTCCGCACGCGGAGCATGTATAAAAACGGCACTGTACGCTGGGGGGCGACCGACCCCACGCCCAGCCCCACGCCCAAGCCCGCGCCCAGCCCCACGCCCAGCCCCACGCCCAGGCCGCCCAGGAGGGGGCGGGGGGGGAGGGAGGAGGTAGGGCGGGGGAGGAGGGAGGCAGGGCGCTCGCTCGCTCAACGCTGGCGTGGGGATGCTCGGCGGCGCGCACAAGGGGGTAGGGGGGTCGAATGAGCGGATCGGCGTCAGCCACGCAGCAGACACAAGGAGAATCACCTTTTCCACCGGGCGCAGCGGCGCCGATATCCACATCAGTACAATAAAAGAAGCACTGGCTGGCCGCCTTGAGCCAGGCGGCAACAGAACGGAAAGGCTCGAGGGGGACGCTGCTTATACACTTTGACTCTGGCACCATCTCCAACTCGCAAGTATCGTCGGAGAAGCACCATGCTCGCAGACGTGATACCAGAGCGGTCGTCCACGAGCAATCACAGCATCACCCCAAAATCAACTTAGTAGTCCAGGCTGGACCACACAGACTTCAGCCGACCTCGAAGAGGCAAGCTGACAAGCCTACACAGGCAACAGCGCACTGCAGCACTCACCGTGAAGCCCACCGCACATGTGTCCACGCGGCTGGGCTCACAAAAGATAACTGTGACAAGAAATCCCTCATCAACAACGCACAGTGGTAAATGAAGCAGCAGACGAAACATTCGGCCAGATATGAACCTGGTCCTTGATCATCATCCGCCACTGTCCAGTGCCGAACGCATCAACGATAGCACCTCGAGCAACTGCCCCCTTGGTAAGAGCATCACACAGCATATCTCTCGTATCACAACGCAGCAATCCAGTTAACGAGCCACAGTCAAGTCGATCACGCATGGCTCGTACAGCATACAGTTAACTGCGATCGTTGGGCATAGCAATCTCCTCAGCAGTGATAGCAGCAAACACGGCGTGAGCGTCCCCAACTAAATACAGACTCATATCTATCTTATTCGAGTTCACCGCATCATGCAACTCCTTCGCGCCACGGGACCCCGTCAGAACTTGATGCCAGAAACCGCGGTGCAGCATGCCGAGCTCACAAGCCTCCAACTGGTTAGTCAACTCGGCCCCAAACGTACTGCGAGTGACTCTCGGCTGCTTCCGACTATAGTAATCAATGACATGCATTAGTCCACCAGGAATACCATCTCGAAGCTCAATGAGTACTAAGATGGCAGCACGCACAGCTAGACAGTCAGCATCATCAGCACGATAAGCAGAGTCTGCTATCACACAGAGACACAGAGGCGGTTCCAACCGCGCATACTTGATGCTGAAAGGCTTCCTCTTGATCCACTTCAGAAGAGTATTGAGACCTTTGATATCACCAACCGTAACTTTCTGGCTGTGCCTCTGAAAACGACCGACGAATACAGCGATATCAGCACGCGTGAGGGTGAGCCACGCTACTCCTCCAAGAAGACTCCAGTACAGGCCCTGCAGCGTACAATCCACCAATTCTTCATCCGATTTGCCAGTAAGTAACGCGCTGCTGATCGGACGAAGTTGGGAGACGTAGTGATTCTGGTCAATCGTGATGGCTTTGCTCACCTCATCCTGAGAATGTTGAATGCCTACGCATTCGAACGGAGCCAGATTCACCGTCACGTCTTCGTACTTCTCACGAAATTTAGCGAATATCCACTCACGCGTCTCATCACTGCAAGCACCTTTCAAGTCATCCACATGCGTACCAAGAACTGCGACCAACAATGCATTGTCAAACATCAACCACAACTGCCGGTCAGCTTCGGTTGGGAAGAAACCCAACTCCCTGAGCGTGTCCGACAAGTCTACTTGCCAGGCCCACGGAGCGTCATTCGTACCGAAACCTGGCTTCTTCATGTTCAGGGTTTCCGTAACCTCATTGAAGTCCTCGAAACCCTCAATCTGCTTCAGCAGAGCTGCACCATCAGGGGGAAGATCAAACTGCAAGCTCCTCATCTTGAAACCGAACCTTTCGGCTAGCTCCTCGAACGTCTTGCCACGCAAGAACGCCATCGAGACGTCGAGCGACCATAGAGTCCAGCCATGCTGAGCCGCGATGGAGCATATCACCCTCTGCCCCCAACGGGAGGCAGTGCCCGCGGCGGTCCTCATGCGATCCTTCTCGTTCTTCTGCCGATCTTTGAAGCCACGCACGGTCAAGCGCCCCTTCACGTCGCGGCTGCCCTCGATGATTTTCCACTTGATGACCCAGCGAGAGTCGATTCGATTATCAGCATCCTTCTTGGGCATACGCTCTACGACGCCACGAGAAACCCAACGCTTCAGCTCCTTCAACTTTGCTGCAACCACCAGATCATGATGTTGCCTAATCTCTGCCGCAGACAGGTTGTTAAGATCACGCTCGATGGCTGGCGAAGCCTGGGTCTTGAATATATTCATCACCAACACTTGACCCTTGGCGATCTTGTCCGGAGCGAGCCCCAGCCGCCAGGCTTGTCTCCGAGAGAACTCAATGCTGATAGGCCCCTCGATGTCTTCGGACGCGAGCTCAACAGCTGGAATTTGGCCGCCAAAATATACGTGAGCTGCGGACGGAGAAGCTTTCTCCATGAAGACAAAGCCCCAGAACAGATCTTCATCATCGATATCTGTGTCCACATCGCTGTCTGGCACAGGCACGTCAACTGCATCAGGAGGCTCCTCAGGAGCATGAGGCAGACAAGGAGCAACATGAGGGCGAGGATTCCCACTCGCATCCGACCCAATTGAGAGCTGTCTCTTGAGGTCCCCAGGCAACGCAATGACCTGAGATTCGTCCCTGCGGCGGGACTTGCTAAGCTGCTCGTCGTTCTCGTCTTCGCTCCTGGGTCGACTTACTCTTGGAAGACGAGTGCCCGGTGGGAACTTGCCCTCGTCTGGGTCGACCTGCTCATACATACGGCCAAGATGTGGCACATCAGGGACAGCCTGCCGAGCAAGCTCGATGTCCTCCAAGGCAACAATAAAGAACTGCAAGAAAACCGTGTCTTGCCACTCGTCTCCGAACAGCGTCGGAAGGGAGATCCTCACTGTGCCAAGAACTTGTTGCCAATGCCAATCGAGCGGATGACCTGCCTTCCAGAAGATAAACAGCGTCTCGTCGACACCAGGCATGCACTCGAGATCCTTGGCACCGTGACCCAGACGGCCACCGCTACAGCCTTGCAATCTGAGATCACACGACGCAACGTGCAGCATCGCGTGGAAAATGATGGGATACTTGGCACAGTGTCTAGACAACTTCCAACCCGTCGAAGTGTTCACACACGCCAAAGTCACTGATCCCTTCTCAATGCTCTCGGCGAACTCCTGCACCAAAGTCAATGGCAACTCCCAGTACTGCCGGTAGTGCTCTGTGGCCACCATCACATCCAAACTGAGAGAGTGTCGTACATCAGCCAATCTGCAACTGAGCGTCCGCGACTGCCACTGTACGTCAACCACGCCTTCTTGTATGCGATTGACGTTCACCACGGTAGCTGGGCCTCGCCAGCCCGAAACATCCTCGTTGGGCGGGTCGCGCCAGATGTCGACCAAGTCGCCCAGCTGCAAGTTTTGACACTCACCAGCCGGGCGAGTGCGAGACTGGAGTGCACGATCCATTCGTTGCTGCGCGGAAGCTCCAACTACCGCCGCGACAGCTACCTCGCGCAGCCGATGTATATGGCGAGATATCCCGTCGATGCCGTCGTCCTGGTCCTCCAGCGCCGTGGCAGAAGCTGGTTCCAAATCTGTAAGCATCGGAATCGTGCGACCGAACACAACCTTATAGGGCGTAATGTTGCCAGAAATAGAGATCATACAATTCTTGGCCAGCACACACTCATCCAAGATGGCTTCGTCGGGAACAGGCGTGCCATCACGGGTACACTGCTCATCAACCAGATGTAACTGATGGCGCAACAACTCATGATGCCGTTCTACCATGCGAGCGTGAGCTCCTCTCGGCCGCAGGTTCAGCTTGCACTGCCAGCGCGAGGCCCAGGATCTGGCTTCGTCGCTGTCGAGGGCCCCTTCGCGATCAGAGGTGAGTACAGCCGGGGCTCCGAACAGCCTGAACCAATAATGCGTGACGGCACCGATGATGGTGCCCGTGTTGCGATCTGGGATGATGGCAGCGACCGAGAAACGCACCAGGGTGTCCAACATGTGCATCACAA